GTAAGCGGCGCATTGATTTTCAAACTTTACTTGAAATAGCTACATCAAAAACACATTTTTCTTTTGTAAGTTTTGTAACAAAATCAGAAGAATCCTTAATTACATATTGACTTTGTCGAAGATGAGATAAACGACTAGTGAGCATTTTTTCCAAGGCCATAATTTACTGTTTTTATTGCAGACATAACTGGTCTTAATGGACAATTTTCTTTATGAAGCTTTGGTAGACCATATAAACGAGCTAATCGTGAACCACTTGGTTTTGCTACTTTATATTCAGCTTCTGTGATGAAATTGTCTTTTTTCAATCTTGATAATAGACGTATTAATTGATCTTCATTTGTTATTGTTGGATCATTATCAACGAGTTTAAATTTTGTATTGTCTCCTAATAATTCTTCCGTTTTATCTCCATGGTGAGGAGTGTGATTTTGTTGTGTTCTCAGAGGAAGTGGATATTCTGTATAGGGAATTGGTTCAGTAAGGCGATTTTTTGCGAGAGAAATGGAATTGAAAAAATTTTAACAAAAAACCCCACCCCAATCCCAGCGCATTTACACTTTGCGCTAAAATAGTTTCGGTCCTCGTCCGGTTCGTCCTCCCGGCGAGGTGACATGCTGCCATCACTGCTAACTACGCAACAGATGTGCACGCCACGTGGGACGCATGTAGAATTGCTCTACATGGCCCGGGGTGGCCCTGGTGAACGACGCTTAACTACAGCATCGCCACTTGACGCGGGCCGTTCATTCGCCAGTCAGAAATCAGATTCGGGCCGTTCATTCGCCAGTCAGAAATCAGATTCGGACCTACGCTATTTTATTCCGAAGAATAAAGTTTTGAATCATACTGGATTCGAACGAAGGACTATAGGTTCATGACGCCTTTAGCTTGTTCGACTAGATAATTCGTTTAACACGCGTAAGACATTACGTAATAGTAAGTTCAACGAAAAAATTCACCAGGTCCTGCGTTCGAATCTAAGTGAGAGAATTCACTGATATAGATCATGTGATTCATAAAAACATTGGCTATATTACCCTAGGTACCTAATAACTAATCAGAAGTGCAGGCAACACATTCCAGTAAATAAAATTTCATGGACGGTGATTTTACTAGCCAGCCTGATCGATCAATCACGAAGAGGCCTCAGCCCGGATCGCAACAGTAAAACTTGATAAATCAGCAACCATAACTATACTATTGGGAAATTCTTTCTCGCCCATCCAAACAGTGTNCAGCACCCATAACTATACTATTGGGAAATTCTTTCTCGCCCATCCAAACAGTGTATAAAAGCAGCTGTTTTTCCAGCTAACAACGCATTCGTCTTGAAAATGATGACATAGATCATCGAAACGTCGAAAACATTGTATTTTTCTTTTTTCTTAATTTCTTATTATAAGAAGAAAAAAAAACATGTTATTTAAAGCCGCTGTTATTATTTCATTTATTTTAAAGACTTGATTGAGATGAGAGCAAGACCCGATAAAATATCACCAGCTCTTACTTATTGTTGGATTTTAAACTGTATCGACTATTTTAGTAAATTCTCATGATCATTTCCATTGAAAAACAAATCAGCTACTGAAGTTGCTATTAAGTTGCATGGACTGCTCTTTGTTTTCGGACCACCTCGATTGCTTCATAGTGATAATGGTCGTGATTTTGTATCAGCTGTTATCATGGTGTTAAAAAGTCTTTTTCCAGATTTGCATTTTATTCGAGGTAGACCGAGACATCCACAAAGCCAAGGATGTATCGAAAGAGCAAACGGGGTTTTGTGTGATGCTCTCGGTAAATGGATGTCCACCAACAATTGTTCTAGTTGGTCTGATGGCTTATTGCCTATAGTTTCCGGGATTAATACCAGAATGTCTACTGTTACCAAAACAACCCCATATGAAGTCATGTTTGGACAAGCACCTCGTTGTGATTCTGATTATCGAAAATTAGTAAGTAAAAATGGAATAGATGATGAAAATGATTTACCAACTCCTGTTGTTGCATCAACAGATTATTTAAATGACGGTAAAAGTGATACGTTAATTAATTTTGATGAAGATCTTAATCCAGAAGTAGTTGAACTCGTCAAACAACTATCTGACGATGTTGTTTCTTCATTAAATGCTGAACCATCAATATCATCATCAGTTACATAAAAAAAACACGATATCACTCGAAAAATTGCCACAGACTATTACCTGGCAACTGCTAATAAAAAGATGAAATTGTATCAAAATGGTTTAAGTATAATCGCAAATGATTATAATGTAAATGATTGTGTTGGGATCCCAATACATACAGTTGATAGAACAAACACGGAGCCAAAATATTTACCATGTCTTATTATAGAAAAAATGGCAAAAAATGACACTTTTTTATATAAAATAATTTCCCAGTATGGTGCTTTAGCAAATACATTTGAAATTGGACAATTCCATGATTTAAAAGATGCTTGTCCTCATGAATTGAAAAACATAGATGTTGATAATTTAAAGCCAATAACCATTATTGAAGGATCGAAGCTTTATTCTCGTGGCTCCACTACCGGACGTACTTGTAATTGTCGAACCAATTGTGCAACCAAAACATGTCCATGTAAAAAAGAAAATGTATTCTGCTCAACAAAGTGCCACTCAAAAAGAGGTGGACGTTTAAACATGGAATAGATTATTTTAGGATTATAATTGCTTCGTTTAATGAATTTTGTGAAATAAAAAAATTGTTGCTTCTTTATGTTTTTTTTCTTTAGTTTATTTTGTTCATCAAAAGGGATTTCCGACTTCGTGAGTGGTGTCACATATNTGCGGCATCTCCCACGGGAGATGTGGTGGCATCTCCAAAATTTTGAATATGTGACACTGCTAGATTTCGCCTAGTCAAAAACGAAATTAGAAACTTTTTGGTGAAAATCGAAATTAGAAATTTTTTGGTGAAAATCGAAGTTAGAAATTTTTTTAGTAAAATCGAAATTAGAATTTTGTCTAGGATTTTGTTGGCCACAATTCTAATTTGAATTTTGCCTGGGCAAATTTTAAATTTGGCTGGATTTGAATTTTGACCACAACAGATACATTGTAACAGAGGCACGAATCATGTAATGGGATGTAACGGCACGTATCGGCTTGTATCGAGCCTCTGTTACAATGTATCCTTATATATACCCGTGGAAAACCTAGAATTCATGAATCTTGTAACGGCTTGTATCGGTTTCTATTGAGTCTCTGTTACATTGCATCGATATATTGTAGCAGAGGCTCGATACAAACCGATACATGCGGTTACATTCCGTTACGTGCTGTTAGATGCTGTTACACGATTCATGAATTCTAGGTTTTTCAGGGGTATGTATATGGATACATTGTAAGAGAGGCTCGAATCATGTAACGGTATGTAACCGCATGTATCGGCTTGTATCGAGCCTCTTTTACAATATGTCGATGCAATGTAACAGAGGCTCAATATGAAGTAGATACATGCCGTTACATCCCGTTACATGATTCATGAATTCTAGGTTTTGAGGGGTATACATATGGATCCATTTAACAGAGGCACGATACAAGCCGATAAATGCCGTTACATCCCGTTACAGGATTCATGAATTCTAGGGTTTTCAGGGATATATATATGGAAACAATGTAGCATAGATGCGATGTCGACGGGCGATACAAATTGTATCCGTGTCGACGCACCCCTCTTACTTCTATATGCAATTACAATTCAGAATATCAACTACCTTACATTTCAAGATAAAATTCTATTTATTTATCAGCTTTTTCGTTTAGATTCAGCTAAGGAGGTATAATTAAGATAACTATTGACCTTCAGTCTTTTCGATTTTCCTGAGAGTACAAAAAACAAAGAAATAGAAATTCACTTTAGTCGAAACGAAAACTAACAATGAGAACTTTTCCAAAGGAATGCGATAATACTACTACTGTTCATTGTAAAACGTGCTGTATGCAGCAGGTATCTGCTATAAGAAAAACTGTTCGAATTCAACGTGAAGCTGGATTCGTCATGAAGCGATCTGGGTGCTTTCACGCAGGTCCGCCCAGTTTTACATCGACCTTTTTCAGGCACGATTTAACCATGCTAGTTTTGTAGCCCGTGTCGAGTTGTGTAGGAAACCATCTTTTGTTTTTAGAAAAATCATGCGCTAAGTCCCACAGGTAGGGCTCAAAATCCGATTTTTTAGAAATCCTATCCCCTAGACCAACAAGTTTTGGTTTTCGTGAACATGATTTGAAAATCTTGATTAGACCATTGGATAGAGCATAAAAAGTTGTCTCTATGCAGTAATTTTCGTGTGTGTACATAAAAGTCTCGAAGCGCCAGCGTACCTGCAAAAATCGGAAAAATGCGATTTTTGCTAAAATTGAGTAGTCCAGAAAACCTACATGTGGACCTAGACACCATGATTTATTAAAATCAAAATGAAGCTTAAGTAACGGTTGTTCGAAATAGCTGGATTATATTTTCAGAATACATTCCTTGGTTGAGATATAAGATTTCTAAAAACCAGAGATTTCTGAAAACCCCATGTTAGGCCTTCATTTTCTCGAGAAGTACACGTCAGAATTCGTTCAAATTTTTTTTATCAGTAGTCTTCAGTGAGTACAACCACTCGCTAAAATATCAGCTCCCCCATCCTGGAATTGTGAAACTTATGATGAGTAGAATTTCGTAAAATTTCGAAATGCTATACTGTAAGGTTTTCCGATTATGATTGTGAAAATAATCATTTCAAGGATGCATACTAGGTAATTTTTTATGCTGAATACGAATAGACTAATATAAACGTCCGACTGATAGAAGAGATTCCTAATATATAGAGAGAAACGTGTACAACCGTAGACGAACATAAAGCTTTTAAGTGGTATTGCTTCTTCTCTAGTTTTCACTTTTTTTTGAATCTTTAAGATGGTGAAAAATTATAATAGGTGTTTATATTGATCCAAATAACAGGTATTGCTGCTTTTGTGGAAATAATGTCGGTTAATATTCAGAGAAAAGCTCTTGTATCTCGTCGCATAGATGCTGTTGAATTGTGTAGTTGTATCGTGTACCAAGTGTCGGAGGTTGGCAAAGCAAACATATGACATTTCCTAGTTCAATATTGAGCTCATCTGGTCGGACAGGAAATTTAAATGATGTTCGTGGCCCGGGTGGATGGAGAAATGTCACGTGTAGCTCTTTTAAAGTAGGTTCGAGAGCTTGAATCATCGCTAGCCACCAATCATCTTGGTATTCGACAGCAATATAGTCATTAACATTAACATCATTCATTGTCAACACACGTTTTACGCATTTCAGTTTTGACTGATGTTTTATGAACATTGTAAAATCTTCATAACTCATTGAATCACTGGTTGTTTTACAACGAATGGTGGCATTGTCAAGCGATTGAAAATGATGATACGATCGTATTCCTATATATTAAGAAGTACACAAATTGTTTATTTGTTAAGTATCGCTTACCAAATATAGGTCCAGTAGAAGGACGAGTTTTACAGCGATCGGATAGATACTCATCGAAATGTTCGCTGATATTAAATTCACTTAGATACCATATATGTATTTTCTCGCTATTTGCTATCTGTCCTATATGGATGTGTGGCATGTCCAATATGGAGTTTGTGGATTTGCTGCAGAATTTCTGCTTTAAGAAATCATAGAACTCGACCGGTGAAAGCAAAGCCTTTTGTGGACCATCTACTATCATAGTTTCACGACGTGCGGCACTCTTAACAACAGCTCCTAAGCCATCCACTGGACCTTTTCCATGACTAGTCTAAATAAAGCGTATAACTGATGAAGAAACATCGATACAAACATAAATAACTTACCGAATAAAATATCCACTCAGCCTTGTACTGATAATCTTCATAATGTTTTATCAAATTTAGCATCGAGAAGTTATTTTTAAAGTGACCAGAACACCCATCACTTAAGTACAGAATAGTCGTCACTAATGGATAAAATGTTTTAATATGATTGCAGATCAATTTTTGTGCACAAGATACAAATGTTGTATCATGACTTAAATAGTCAGATACTATAACGATGTTAATAATCTAAAGAAAGAAAGCATTTCAAGTTGGTAGATCCCCATTTATATCAATTTAGAAGTAATCGACCTTCGTTGTTCGTTCTGATTTGAATGGTGAATAGTGCAGCTTGTTTAGTTGATCAATGTTTACTCATTACCTCATTTTGTGCTTCCAGAGCCTAGGATATACGAAAAACTTGTTTATGATAAGGATTCAGAGGAAATGAAAGTAGTGAGGTTTTGGATATTAAAGTTCGATTGACGAAACTCACGTAGTTTTCGGCGAAGTCCATATGAACGAGAGCCGAATCAGATGCAAGTGACTGTTTTAAAGTACGAATGTGCTCGAATTGAGCATGTGTTATGTAGGAATGCATAATAAATTTTGACCACTGATGGTCCATTTCGATCAAAAGATCACCGACTGAGCCACTTAATCGATGAATATCTATTTTCCCATTAACATTTGCCCACTTCATCCAATTCACTTCTTCATCCAAATCGATTCCAGGATATAATGTTGGTATTTCAGTCGATGGAAC